CTCCAGTCCTCAACATTTTGAATCTAATCAACTAACTTTAAAACGTTTATGATAACAGCAAAGATGATCGATGACTGCTGCATAAAATGGATTATACGAGGCTTCTCGGAGTGCACAGTGCACGCAAATGTGCACAATTTCCCTTTCCTGTTGACCCTTCAGCGACAATCGTAATAGCTTCTCGAATGCATCTGCTTCATCCTGAAATTCCAGCTGCAATAATTCCATTTCTCTCAAAGAAAAACCCCTTAAACATATGAACAACAATGATAGCTGGAATTTAAACACCCGAGAGGCAAAGGTAGAATGTCCGGTGGTACCATGCAACGTCAAAAGAACACTGGGAAGGCCATCAACAAAACTGTAGGATTCGCTTGAACGCATCCTTATAGAAAGCTCATAACTGCGCAACAGTATGACCAATTAAAATTTGCACGAATTTTTGGCTTTATCAAATTTGAGTAGAAAAAGCAGGATGATACACAGTATCTAAGTAAAAAAAAAAAAAAAATAATGAAAAAGGCAACAAGTCAAATAAAACAGTCCCTTTGAATCGTTATACGAAAGGCTCAGAATCAAGCAGAATGACCAACCCCTTCAGCTACATCACTGGCCGGGAAGAGCAAAAATTCTCTTCAAGACATTAAAAAATATCTCTTGTAGACCTTGCAAGCATACAGAATCACCTAAGGGTTACAAAAAATATAAATTTCAGAACTATGTGATGCTATGGAAACACTGCAGAGACGTAGAAAATTTACCGTAGACGACATGATTGTGCAGAAAATGTTACGTCGAATCGTCGTGTTCATTTTGGCGTTTTTAGCAAGCTGCAACAAGGATGGGCTGAAAAGTGTATTCTTTTCAGCTGCTTTATCTGTCACTAATTGATCCTGAGAGTTCCCAGTTGCAGATGGTAACCAAGCCGAGCCAACAAGCCACCAGCGTCCTCTTTCTGCGATGTGCACGATATCGTCAACACTCATTGGTAGCTCTTTCTCTCGGCCCATTTCTACAATGTCCATTTTAATTCAATTTGTCAAACTTTTTAAAGTACTGATAATCCCTTCGGATAAAACACTGCTGAGCTGATAATCTCTTCAGCAGGTGAAACAAAGCCACGAAAAACAGAAGGCTCTCTGCCAGACGACGCAGCACAGATCAAAACAGCTGGAAAAAGAATACTAACTTTTGAATTACCTTTTTACCTTTTTTTCATCACATTAGACAATTAAACAATTTTAATACCTCCATTACTATTCATCTTCCACAACACTTTTTTCACTACTAGCATGCATTACATAATTTAACCCTAATTTTCACTAATTTCAATTACCACAATCATCGTACTGACGAAGTTCAACTGTGGTAATGGCAAGAAATGTATACGACTTAATGGACCGAAACACTTCTTACTATTACAGTAAACTCATGAATTTTCTAATTTTCATTTTTTCGCTTTTCTTTTTCTTTCTTTCTTTTTTTCCATACTTTCCTATTATAACTTTTTATTTCAAAATATTCCAAGTATAACGTACTTCTTGTCAATCCACGATAAATGCTAACGTAGTGGTCGTATAAAGTAGAATCCACTTTATCAGTGAATTGTCGAACATTTGCATTTTTAATGTCGTTAATCTCTTCTACAACATATCGTAGCTGTTGCCTACAAAACAAACCACAACAGTCGCGGTTATTAATAAAACACGGTGTAACCCTTCTGAAAAAGCACAATTTTCGTGCGCATCTGATGTATCGCTTATTTAAGCGTAAAGTCACCCAAGATCCTTTGATCACCAGATTGTTCAGCTCTAAACACAGTACTTGGAGTACCTAGAACCGATGTTAATTCATAATCTGATTCCTCATTTAAACAGAGGGCAAATTTTCCAGTAACTATGATCAGTGCTGCAAAACCGCCGAATGGTAAGCTTGCTAATGAACCAGGCGTTCAACGCTTTCTACAATAGTTACTAGCTCGATGGGTTTTCCGGACAAAAGCACTTGACAAGGCCCTAGCTGTTCCAAACATTTCTTGTTTTCTTTGCGCACCAACATCTCGTCCTAAACGCCACCACTTCAAAGCCATGATGAGGAATTAATCATGGAAAAATTATGATAATCGCTGTGATAATTGCGATAATCGCGTGATAATCGCGCACTTCAACTGTGATAATCGTGCAAAAGTGCACTACGATGTCAGCACCGGCATGAAACGAAGGAAGAAATAGAAAAAATCTTTGAAAAATCGGCAAATCTGTGTTCATGCAGTTCACTTACTCTTTTAAAGATGTCTCCGAAAGTCCGGACAAAAATGACTGCGTCTCCGTGAGACACTTCTGCAAAGCATCCAAGTTGCGCTTCCTCAACGTGTTACCGCAGTCTAGGAAAAACGGTGAATTAGTTCGAATGCAGCTAAATTTGTCTAATGAAAAGGAAAAATGATATTGCCCAGAAGAAACATTATTCATTGCAGATCTCAGTTTTTTTTTTCTTTTTTTATTTTTGTAAGAAAGCTAACCAATAATCTGCTTCATCAACGAGTATCTCGAGCTTTAAAATGAAGTATGAAAATCTAAAGAACTGTCTTAAATGCCGGTCAAATTTCTACACGATCCAAGCTCACCACAGCTCAATGGAACCAGTAAAAAATACACACAGCTCACGCTGCTTTTATGTATTAAGGATAAAACTGGGGATAAACTTCTCAGAACTGGAACCAGAATTGGAAATTTAGGAAAAATTAGGGAAATCGAAGGACAGAAGAATAAAACCAAACCGATAATTTAGGCGAAAGTAAAAATAAATTTATAATTTAACTGAAGAACATTTTCAGTCCAATAACAATAGCATACATTTAATTTCAGTACCACAGCTGGATCTCGTCGGTGCAATAATTGTGACATTTCTTAGAAAATTATTTGAATAATTTTGAAATCAAATTTTCAAGAAATGAGAAGACGAGTTGAAGGAAAACACTGTAAAACAGATGAAGATAGGGCATGCATAAAAATACTAAAAGAAATAACAAATATGTGTCATAACACTAATGATTATCTGAGTACTAGGTCGGTCATATCAATTGCTGCGCTGCTACGCAGAGGTGCATCAGGAACGAGACAAACGCAGATCAAAGTGTTAAAAAAAATTAACAGTACGAAGATCAAAAACCGGCAGTCCTTTACCAATTTAGCCACTGTGCAATAGAAAATTGAGATACGCAGATATAAAAAGGAATAAAAAAATGTAATAGAACAGTTCTGAAATAAAAAGGAGAAACGAGGGGAAAATTTCGAATAAAAATCAAGAAATTAGTAAAATTATTCAAAAGAAAATAATTTTAATAAAATTATTACAATGGTAAGAAATGTTTCGGTCCATTACTTCGCATACATTTCTTACCATTACCACAGCTGGACATCGTCAGTACGGCAGTTGTAGTAATTGTAACTGGCACAAATTAAATTTAAATTAGTTGTATGAAGTGTGCTAGTAGAACTGGTGTAAGCTTTAAATTTAAAAGAAAAGAATAAGAAGGCAAGATTTAATCTTTTTTGAGGCGCAAAAAACTGTCAAAAACTTACAGCTGAGAATAACTGTGAGACAGGTCATGCATTTGTCACTAACTTCCTCTCTGAGACGCTGGATAACTTCTGTGACAATGGTGACTTTGATAACCTGTAAAATTTGCACAATACAAACAACGATTGCACTCAAACAATCAATCTGTTTCTAAAATATTTACTGAAAGTGTTCCTATACTGCCCTCCTCCCCTCCCCCACCCCCCCTCCCCCTTACCGTTTTTTTCCACACTTTTCTTCACCTCCTCACCCTTCGCTTCTTTTGTTATCCTCGTCCTCGCCAAAGCCTTCCTTTTTCATTTCATAAGCTAGTGGAGGATTTTACCATTAGCCCGAGCAAGATGCTTGTACGAATTCAACAAGCTTGTCAAACAGCCAAAACAGGAAATTTTCAAAAACAGGAATATCACCTGAACCACTGCTTTCCGCAAAACTAAATGGATTGGCAAGCCAGGCACAGAATTTATTAAAAAATCTTGCGTGCATCCTCGAGAAAGTGATGAAATTACATAGACAATAATACACCCAAAATGAACCTTGAAATTATAAAGTTCGGCAAGAAAAATGCACAAATTTTCCAGTGATTTGCCTTCTGGAGGATTTGCAATCGTTTCCAAAAGTTTCGTAATAAAATTCTCAATAATATATGATGCTGCAATGGCAATAAAAAACAATTACTACACGGCAAATTCATTCATCACACGGCACATAAATAAAAATCATCCGTCTGATAAAAAATAAATACCGTTGCGCACCAGGGCAGCCGGCGCGATCATGCGTTTTGTGCAATTTCGTCCACTGATTGATTGCCTGCTAATGATTTTCAATGCTCTGAATTTAAATTTGAAGAGTTGCACGTGAGCAAGGAACAGTCCCCCAAAACTTCAGTTTTCTAGATTTCGTATTTCCCGAGATAATAACTTGTCCGTCAAAAGTTCCACGAGCCGTATATGTTACCCGCGAGCACAAGAAGGCAGAATTTAAATTTTCTGGGTAGCATGTGGTCAGCGGACATACCCATAAAATTTCAGCTTCCTAGCTTTTGTGGTCCCCGAGTTGAAAGCTGCGGACAAGTTGCCACGGACACACACACACACACGCACACATATATATACATATATATGTATATACAAATATGTGTATGTACATACATATATATACATATATATGTGTATATATATGCATATATGTATATGTGTATATATATACATGTACATATATATATATATGTACACATATATATATGTACATATATATATACATATATACATATATATATACATATGTATATATATATATGTATAGACAACCCCGTAACAATATGAGTTTTGTACTCCTGTTACAACACAAAACGCATAAAAAAAAAAACAGCGCAGTGCTGATGTACAAGAAATTTAAGAAATAATAATAATTCTGGTCTGACCTGAACTTTAATTTTAATTTAAGATAAAAAGCAACTTACAGACTTCAGACGAGACTGTGGTATGAATAAGAGCAATGAAGACAGCATATTCGATGATAAGCCTGTCTGGCAACCGATAATCCATTGCGACGCTATTTGAAATTTCACAGAACAATATTTGTTTCACTTCTGAAATATTAAAATCATGTTGTGCTACTATTTCTGGTTTATTTTCTCCATAATTTTTATTAAAAGAAATGTTTTTCAGGCAACTACTACTATCCAATAACTACAGTGATCAATCTCCCGGCCGGCAAGGTACCTCACCGTGGTCTGAGAGTAGCAACAGTCGAAGGCGAGGTGATAATGCTCAGTACAAATCGATGAAGCTCCAAGCAGCTAAATCCTTGTCAGAGTGCCTCTGAAGGGTGAGCCACTGAACCAGCAATCCCTTTGAGGACGAAGAGCGTCAAGATTGCCAGAAGATTGGTACCCGCGCATGGTCAAGCGAAAATGGGGAGGCCAATAGCGAGGTGGAGAGACCGTACGGTACTTCTGTACGGTACACCACGTGGACTCGGGGAGTGCAACAACGAGTTGAATGGAGAAGTTGCTAGTTGCATCGATGGCGTGACAACGAACGTCGATGAAATACAGCTGCTCGAGTATTTAAGTAAATATCCTGATTACTTTTTGAGTGCTAAAAGTATCCATACATACAATCAAGGACAGAACTGAATTATTAATTATAGGATTAATTGAGAAGCAGAATAATTACTACATTAATGATAATGAAATCTGAACTAATAACGGAATAGTATCGGGATATCTAATATTATCAGTAAAAGAGGCACTACTATAACAAGTTCCGGGACCAAAGTTCAACTTTTTCCTGAAGAACCCCTGCACCCAAGCAATAATTACTAAATCTAAAAACAACCGGTGAAATGCATGAAGTTATATTTTACCATTATGCCCATTGCTGGCAAATATATCCGAAAAATTCTTTACAGCTCCAACAAGCGTATGTTCATTGAGACGATTCACAAGGCCTCTCAGGCATTTTGTTAATTTCAACCGATCTTCTGTTTCGAGTACGCCAGTTCGTCGTTCCAATTCATCAAGTTTCTCCTTTGCGCCCAGCTTTGAAGGCAAAACTGCTCCCGTTTTTCGGTCAACAACTCGACCGTAAATATCTTCTTTCAGATTCCCAACATCGTCCCCGTCATCGCTCTCAACCCGACCAACATCATTCGCAACTTCCTAAACGAAGGCCATATCTCAAAATTTTGTTCCGAG